CATGCTTCCTTCGCATAATTAACTTTTTTTAATTAATTAGAAGAGTAGAATTATTTCTTTTAGTGAGAGAGACACCCAATACTAGGGCACCATGTTTTTGAGAGGAAAAGATTATTTACCAATTTAACCAAAAATAAATAAAGATTATTTACCTGTAGAGAGATGGACTGGCGTCTCATCCTATTTCCTTGAGCTGAAGTAGGAAAGAAGTAGTAGTTTTTAGGTCTTTGGATTAGGTTTTTGTACTTGTAACAGGACAGATGAGAAAGGAAGAGGAAGCAGAACATGAAGGAAGAGGAAGGAGGAACAGGAACAACAATAGGAGATGAGATGAAACCATGAAATGATAAAGTAAAAGTGAATTGTAAATTCCTATTCAGTATTTCCCTTTCCGTTCAAATAAAATGGCTTTATTTTTTTAATTTGAAATTCTGAAAAATATCTAAAATGTCATTGCTTAATGCCATTGGAAAGATTTCAATGGATTAATTTGCCAAGAGTAACATATTTTTTTCCAAAACATTAGATAAGTTAATGAATTATGAGTATTTTGAATTTGGCCCAAAAAATGGAGTGAAAATCAGATATATAAAGATAATATAAGTTGAAAATAGAAATTGTAGTCATTTAAGGCTACATCAAAGACATTTTGCTATAATATTTTGTCCATACCTGAAAACATTTACGATCCTGTCCTACATGACAAATTTTTCAAATTTTTTATCTAAGTTTTAAATGCAAGAATAATCTTCCTTCATTTTCACGATAAAAAAAAGATATTATTTTATTTGGGGTGTAGAATGAAACAAAAACAACAATACTCTAATAGAATAATTACATTAACAAATAACAATAACTATAACCCATGGTATTGCATTATTATTATAAAGGGAAAAATACGACCTTCGTTATAGGATTATAGTTAACTAAATCTTAAAACACCCAAAAAAGTGAAAAAATGTTTCATCCATATGATTGCATTGTATGACCGATGAAATAACCAAAAAATAAAAAAAGGTAAATTAATCTAACTTTTGCAGATAAAGAGGAAGTACCAAAATTATTTCTTTTACTAAAAAATTCAAAAAAGTAAACCCAATATTTAAATCAAGCCCTAATTCCTAGTTACCTAAATCTTTAGTTGTGACTAAATATCGCTCTCGTTTAAATTTTTTTTTTGTAATGATTCTCATGATTTAGATAAAACAAGATTTTTTGTTGAGTGACTCATCCACTAACTTTTGCTTATTATTTTGAGATATATTATTGTTTTCGGAAAATACCTTTTTTAGGAATACTTTGGTGGTATTGTATTTTTGTACAATTTTTAATGAGAAAATATTGATGAAATCTTTTTTTTTTTGTTGAAATTCTTTGTTAAGTTAGGGATCTTAGTTTAATCCCACTTTTAATCTGTTTATCTCAAAAACAAACTTCAAGTGTATCAAATCACTAAAGATAAGGGAAGTCTTAAGAAAATTATAGGTAAGAAGTTTTTTTTATGAAAACCTTATTTTGAAAAAATAATTATGTATTTATATTGGTTCAATAAAAAGCTGCATCTCCTGTGGGTCTTTTAATGAACTCAAAGTCTTTAATAGATTTCAAAAAAACCAAAAGTTTTTTTTCTAAAAGATTTTCTTTTGTTCAAAGGCTTGCTAAGTATGACATATACCAGTTGATAGTAGTAGTTGATAGTAGTAGAATAGAGTTGGGGAAAAGAGACTATTTGAAATTAAAAATTTGTTGGTACTGTATTTAAGAATACTCTGAATACTCATTTTACATATGGAATCACTATATACATGGTAATTTATAGTTAAAAAAAAAATATATATCTCAGAGCAGGGTTCTCTGGAAAACTTTACTGAATTCCCACTCGTTACTTCTTGGGGATTGTCCTCATGAGAAACCTTTATGCATAGTGTCAACGATACATAAATCATGTAAAACTGGTTTTAGCCTTTAATTTGAATAGACAGATGGGATAGCTTCAACCATAGTGTCCAATATGGTTTCTGACTCAAAATTTTTTTTTTATAGTAAAATCATTTTTCTTGTGAAATTTTCGCATACAAGGGCACCACACATTTTTTTTATAGATCCAAAAAGTGTGCTATTGAATATAATTGTATTCCAATGGTGAGATAAGAATATATCCAGTATGCCCCTACTCCACGTTGGATGAAGGTGAAAGGATATTGTTTCATTCTATAAATGGGACATGAATTTCTCTTTTTGCTAAGTAAGTTTTTATTGAACTTCCTCTCTAGAAAAGAGGTCACTATAGTACTCTAGATCTTGTTATACTTAATACATTTGTATATATAATATAGTATTTCATTCTTCTATGTCCTTATATCTTGAAGACAAATTTGCCTCTAGAATTTACTATCATTATTTTGTTATGCTGGTCCGTGTGGTGTAATAACTGTTACTCATGTTGAATTGGAGGGATTGTTACCAGGGTTAAGGATTTGGATGGAGAAACAAATGGGAGATCTTTGATTATTGAAGGGGATTCTCTTAATGATATTAACTGGTATTCTGTTATCTCTAAACCTTCTTTGCGATTAAGGTTATGGTTGAAGGTTATGGATTAACTGTTATCTCTAAGGTTGAAAGTTATGGATTTTCTCTCTTCTCGGGTGGTTACTTTCCAACATGTTTTAAAAGAAGCAAACAGGGTTGTAGATGTCTTGGCTAAGAAAGGAGTGTCTTAATTCTCTAGTTAGTTCTTCTGGTTGGTTGTAACTGTTGTATTGTACTCTTATTTCTTCTAATAAAAGTTATAAGTTCTTGTCACAAAAAAAAAACTTACTATCAGTAAGCGACATATATTATTTTGTTTTAACAAATTTTTTTGGGTGAGTCACTCAGGGGTGACAATTGACCCGACCCAACCACGAGCCTTTTTTTAAAACTCAAATTTTTTATCTGTTATTCTCATGTGAGAGAGCCACGTCATAGCCATCTAACATTTATTGCCGCCCAACACGAGGGATTTTGTTAAAGGGAAAAGTTTATATAAAGCCGAAGCTCTAATCAATCAAATTTGATCCTACCCTAAAAATTTCACTAGAAGAGGTTGTTTTGACATCCAAATATCTTCAAATGGACCATCTCGACATCAAGATGCACGGACATGAGAAAAAAATGGATTTCAAGCTTAAGAAATAGTGTATTTTTAACACATTTTGGACCGTCAATTTTTAAGATTTTCAAGTTTTCATTGATATGTCAATCTATACTATTTTTTAAGCTTTAAATTTTATAAATAAATATAAAAATATATTTTAAGGCTATCACAAAGATTTCCAATATGAAATTTCTTGACACTATTTGAATGTAGGCTGTAATTTGATTGTTTAGAGCCTAGGCTCTATACAAACTGCACCCTTTGTTAAATGATATAATAACTGGGAAAGTATAGAATGAGATCATTTATTACCTTTTATACAAGGTGGTCATAATAATCTTGACTATTAGATGTAAAGTTGGGTGGCTGCAATTATTAAATTGATCAGTCTCAAACTTCACAAGAAATTTGTTCAAACTTTGTGATATATCCAAACTATCATATTTCACATCAAATGGTTGTAAGTAATTGTGACTACCTTGTATAAAAGGTAAATGGTCCACTATATACAATCCCGAAATTTATATACAACATAAGTTTTAAAGATGTGGGTTAAATATCACTTAGATTTGCAGGGAATTCGTTGAACGTATAAAGAATTTATTAACTGTTTTTTTATATTATTCAAAGGTTTTGCATTAAATATAAAAAATTGGAGACATTTACATTAACTAATAGGGCATAACTCCCATAAACGGGCGCCATATAGACCCATCCAAATGCCCAATCCAAGTGGTGGTCATAATTTATCATATGAACTGCATGCGCTTGACACAGTGTATCAGGATGGTCCCATATTCAAAGATGTAAGTTTTTGAATTCCAAGAAAAATTAAGGGCAGGATTCGTCATCTCAGCGCTCGTTTGGTTTGTATGATAACTTGCATCTTAAAATATTTTTCATATGAAACATGCGGTTATAGGCACAATTGGTTCGTGCGTAAAACTGATGAAAACTTGTCTGAGCTCCTACAAGGAGCAAATCGGGTAAAAATAAATCCCCACAGCACAAAGTGTGGAGTAAGTTCCCTGGGATCCTTAACTCATGCGGGCTCGAAAAAAATATTTCATTCGAGTTTACCGCAGGGGGTTGAAAGTTTAAACCGCAAAAATTAAAAAAATAAAATATCTCTCTCTCCCTGCCATAAAAAATAAAAATTGCCTCAAGATCGTAGAGAGACCGTCCAATTTTTAGAGGGTAAGATCTATATTGAAAAACTCAAATTTTAAATTTTGAAAATAATCATCTAATCATAATTAGTTGATCTCAAAAATTTCAAATTGAAAAGATCCTCCTAAGTAGGTCTTTTTACCAAAAGAATAAACTTATATTATACTCCAGCAGGAGTATGTCTCCATTTTCATTCAACCACTATGTATTTAAGGAGTGTGTGGAGTTCATCACCTGTTATTGCGGAACAAGAGGGCAATTTAAAAAGAAAAAACGCTGGGGGAGGGGTGCTCGTGGTAAACTTTTTTATAAATAACATCAAATAATAATAAAAGAATACAAAAGTTGTCCGTATGTTGTTAAAAAAAAAAACTCTATTTTCAATTGTTGTAGTCAGGTCCCATGCGTCAGATGGAAATTGGTGAGGCTTGGGTGGGACCAGCCTTGGCCTTGGCCATGCTCTTATTGCCGTAGGGCTAGGCGGGGCCACAAATGAAGAAAAATAGAAGTAAAAACAAGGAAAAAAAGATGGTGGAGCTGGGCCAAATCAAGCCGGCACTGGATCCTAGTCCGGCCCTTGGGCCACAGTTTGTGGCCCAAGCCCCACTTTTTATAAGTTGAAGGTAAGGCCCTGGCACAAGACAGAGCAATAGATATATCCCATTGCTAGAGAGAGTGGGCGAGAGGAAGTATGGATTCTAAAAGTGCAGATAAACCTCATGCCCTGTGCATTCCATATCCAGCACAAGGCCACATTAACCCCATGATGCACCTTGCTAAGCTTCTCCATGCTAGAGGCTTTTACATAACTTTTGTCAACACTGAATTTAACCATGAGCGTGTTACTAGTTCAGGAGGAGCCATCGAATTGAAGCATTTAGAGGATTTTAACTTGGAATCGATCCCTGATGGCTTGCCACCCGACGATTGCCGGACCCAAGAAAGCCTTTTCGATGCAACAACGAAGTATTTCTTGAGTCCTTTCAAGGATCTGGTTTCAAAACTCAATGGTTCCATGGAAGTCCCTCGGCTTACATGCATAATTTCGGATGGCCTTCTGAACTTTACACAGCAGGTTGTAGAAGAGAATGGGATCCCAAGGATTTCTCTCTGGACGACGAGTGCTTGTGGTTACTGGGGATTCTTGAAGTACCCGGAGATCATCGAAAGAGGAATCCTGCCTTTCAAAGGTCTGTCTCTCTCCCTTCCTCATACAAATACACAACTTTCTCTATCTCAAACACTTATTACTTGGTTCGTAGTTCAAAGAAAAGCACTTGAAAACGTTTAACCAATAAACAGCAACTGTAAATAGGCGATCTCTATGTGCGTGTGGGCACGCAAGAGAGACAGAGAGAGAGGGGAGGGCGAGATGTCTAAATCTGCAACCATCGATTCAAAAACTAGACTGAATCTAGGCGCCTACTCTCTCTCTCATATGTTCTTTCCATTCTTGCCTAGTTCAGCAGAGAAGAGAAAGATAAAATTGTTGCCTCCTTATACACGTTTTCACACACTGTGACGAGGGTTTGGGCACGCACATGGTTGGTAATTTTTTTGGGTGAATTATGGGAATTAGGGGCACTAAAAACTATGATAATTGGGTTTAATTGTACTAAATATATTTTGGACACTCATATATCTTTGGTTTGTACATGGAGCATTTTTTTAGTAAGGATATTTTTAGTCATTAAAAGATGTGTGAATCATCCACATGGGATGTGCGATCAACCTCCATCATGCCATATCCTATATGGATGATGTCACACCCATCCTAATAACAAAAAATACTCTTAATAAAAAAAATGATCCATATAGAAAACAATGATGTACAAGCTACTAGCTATAATGAATAGTATAAACTATTAACTTCCAGCCGTATGATCTTCATCGGGTGGCTCAAAATTCATATCAGTATCTGAATTTTTATATTTTTCTAGAAATTAGATTGTAATGAAAATTTGAACGTGTGTACTAAAAAATATGGCACATAATAAAAAAGTATATAAAACATATTTCCTAAAATACAAAATGACCGAAATACACCTGAAATTGATGGGGCTAATTTGGTCCTTTTAAATTATTGAAATTAAGTTTTCAATATTTTTATATGGTGCGCAATAGTGTTAAGTATATACACCTAAAATTTCATCTTAATTTGATTTATTAAAAAAATATTAAAATTACAATACTGATATAAATTTTGAACTATGCGATGAAAGATGTGATGTCATCCCTTCACATTCTATACTTTAGTGAGTGGTTCCAAATACATATCACTAGTTTGGTACAAGCTTTTGGCTTTGCCCTTAAATCCCCCATCGCCCTTTCAGCTACTATACTAAATGGTATTTCATTCGCTAAGCATAAGCGAATTGTGGGTAGCGCCTTCCTATGTTTTTCTTCCCAATCATCATCCTTCATTTTTTTTTTTCTTGGATATTTTTTGTAGTGTTTTATAAAAGCCTTGTTGTATATATCATGAACTTTTATTTTCCAATGTTCAAAATCATTCCTTCCATCGGACTTCTCTACTTCAAATTGGTAAGTTGCTATTCTTCGCAAATTATTACACACTTTCCTTGAGCTATGATACCACTTATTAGGAACCAAAGCTATCTTGACTACCCCCTTGTTATGGTGAACCCCATACTACACCAAATCTAACACCTCAAAATTAACTCACCCTTCTCTTGCAAATTTATTCTAAGAAATCCAATACCCAATAATCAAATATATGGTGCAGTGAATTTGGTCAAAATATGATTAAATCAACATAAACTAAAATATGAACTCTAATGGCACAACCACACATTACAAACCATAATCAAAGTACCATAAACACATAATATACATACTTCACCCAAAATCAGGCTACTTCCATGGGCAACCGATGAGAAAATAATTCACTATCAATAGAAGAAATATACAACTTTATGGGTTCTGCAGTGATTACCTCATACATTGGTAAAGAAAGCTCAAATTGATTTTCCTACCATAATAACACCAATCGACTCCTTTTGTCTCAGTCAACTAATACCATTACTGCAAGAAAATCCTAATGAAATCCGGCCCAATACAAGGCCACAATAGTTCTAAGGGTTGTGCAAGAATCCCTTGAAGTCCACCTACCAAAACATATATACATTTTTCTAGTGTTTTCTCCCCCTAACATTCGTTGTTATAGGCCTCCATAAAAGTTCATTTTTCTACCCCTCACGAAAGAGGGAATGCCATATGAAAGTTATTTTGGCAACACATACCAACAAGCACATATTTTTTATTTGAGGAAAAAGGTTTTATAAAGTTGACGCTCTAAACAATCAAATTGAGCGTTCCTTATTCACTAGAAGAAGATGTTTTGATGCCAAAAACCACTCAAATACAATCGTCTCAACCTCGAGACACAAAAGAACAAAAAAAACATAACTTCAAGTCTTGAAAATAGTGCTTATTGTAATGCATTTTCTAAACTGATAATTTTCAAGTGTTTGTAGTTCTAGTTGATCTATATTATTTTTTAAACCTTAAAATGTATAATTAGAGATTAAAATTAATTTTAGGCCAAATAAAAAAATTTTATGCCAAAATAACATCTTTCAACAATATTTGATTTGCACCGTTCTTTGATTAGGGCGTCAGCCTTATAAAATATACACCCTTTATTTGAAGCAATAATTTATTAACGACACGCAGTTTAGTGAAATTTTGTAAGTGCCTCAACATGGTTCACTTGTACAAAAATTTAACTTCGCTATGTTGTCGATTCACGATAACGTAGGACGCCCCGATCAAATTTGTGTTCTATAAAATGAGTAAAATTTTAGATTCCGAATATGAATTGACACTTCGGATAGCTTCACTTATAATGCCACATGTTACCTAGCTTTTGAGCGTTTAATCGGACAGTTTAGAATTTTTATTTCTATTTATCTTTTACAAATAATTTTGAGATTGAATCTATGGCATGCCTTCCTTCCCTTGATGCACCTAATAAAAAGAGGGAAAAAGTGTCCCTTTTAAGAACAAGAGGTCACAATACCCTTGTAACGTTTACAGATATTTTGGTTATTTATGTTGTCATAAATATTTATGTTTTTCTTTATTGGGTACACCTTTGAAATGAGTAGTTGCCCCAATTTTGATATCTCAATAATTTGTCAATTATAAAAAAAAAAATACTAGGCTATACGAGATGGAAGTTATGATCTAAATTGGATGACTGATGTAAAGGATTCATGATTAAAACAGTAGAACTTCAAAAGTAATTAACAAGAAATATGTTTGGTTATGGAAACTTACCATGTCCATTCCACTTGCTTTTTTTTGTCCTTTTCAAGAACGGATCCATGGGTGGAACGTTCTAGATCGCCAATCGAAAATTTTGTTTAGAACAACATAGATAATATGATATATATTACAATGAGTGATTACATAACATTAAATGTGGAGGCTTTTGGGAGGTATCTTGTCCTTATACCGAGGGACAGTTGTAGGAGCCCCATTGCTTTTTTAACCTAAAAAAAACAAGGGAAAATTACTAATAACTTTAAGACTGACTTTTTATGCAAGTTATCTCAACTAAATTTTTTCTCATTTTTTTTTCCAAAATACATTTTTGTAGCAAACACCCCAAGTTAAAAAAATATATTTTTTGATCAAAATACCATTTTTTTGTACATAAAAATTTAATTTTTACGTGGGCTTACATAAGTTGGCGGACCGCTCTTAGATATTGCCGAACGCCGTTAAACTAAAAAAAGTGCCGGACCGCTATTTGACATTGCCGGATCACACTTTGGGCATGTTGCTGGACTACATGGGCCTGTTGCTGGACAGCCTGGGCCTGTTGCTGGACCGCATTGGCCTGTTGCTGGGCCGCTTTTTGGCAGTGTCGGACCGCATGGGCCTATTGCAGGACTATTCTTTTTTAGTGTTGGACCGCCACTTGTATTGCCAGAGCACCACTGTTGTTTATCGGACCGTCATTACACTACCGGACAGCCTTTTCGTAGGAAAGAGAAGAGAGAAGTATGGGTAAAAATAAGGAAGGGTAGTATAGACTTTTTTTTCTTTTGGGTTGAGGGGCATTTGCTAAGAAAGTATATTTTGGGATAAAAAGTGTGAAAGAGAGTTTGGTTGGGGGTAACGTGCATAAAAAATCTAGTCGTGGGGTTATATGTAAGTTTCCCAAAAAACAATGCTTTTTGAGCGGTGCGGATGAACCTCAAATTTTGAAGAACTCTAAATTTATTTGTAATAAAAAACTGTGTGAATGTATAATATAAAATAAAGGACACGGTTTCTATGTGGTTGGCTTGCATATTGTAGAATTGCGGGCTCAGCATTAAATATAATTTGATCATAGTTTTCAGAGAATATATAATTTTAATATGAAGATCATGAATATTAAAAAAAAAAAAACAAAATCGAATACTATAAATAATAACTATATTAGAAAAACATTTTGATTGTTAATTACACTTGTGTTTAGATGGACCACCTATTTGCATCCATCTGTAAGATGGATGCTTCATATCATTGGATCTCATATTGTAGAAATGAGATCCAGCTCTGTAATAATTCTAAACTTTCAAAAAAAAAAAAAAAAACAGAGAAAAGAAAGAAAGAAACTTTTAATAAGTGATGGTCTATATGAGCATGATGGTCTTTAGAGACTATTACTATTTTTAAAATCTTTTGGTTAAGTTTCTTTTGTTTGCTTCTGCCTTGCCACGTCAAGTGGACGTGGGCTTTAAGCATATAAGGGATATTGTAACGGTTACACCTCGTGTATGATGTGTAACTTAATAAAATATTATAATACGGTGTCGTAAGAGTTTAAATAAGAGAGGTGAGGACTCCTACCTTAGAAAACTTATGAGATTTTTCTCTCTGGTCGAAACACAGTGAACTCCTCTCTCTAGCCGAATTTTTATCGAAGCTCCTCTCAAATATTTGTGTGTAAGTGACATCGTCTTCCTGAAAAATAGTTTGTTTTTAATAAATAGTGATATTTCCGCATTCTTGAATTTCTATAAGAGTTTTTCTATACATATTAGATTGGCAATTATGCTAGAATATCTTTACGAACTGCTACCTTTCTAAATTTGAGCCCAAATATTTGATTGGTTATTTTTAAAATGTTATTGAAAGTGACTGTTATTAATGGTTTCAGTGAAATTCATATTAATGATTTTAGTGATATATTGAGTACATGATATTACTGCTTTCGAATGTTTAAATATATTTAAAAATACTTTAAGTATAAAAGTGGACTCATCCGGTTCGCCGGTGAGGTATAAGTGGACCTATCTGGGACGCCGGTAGGGATTAAGTGGACTCATTCGGTACGCCGGTGAGGTATAAGTGGACCTGTAGGGATTAAGTGGACCTATCTGGGACGCCGATAGGGATTAAGTGGACCCATCAGGACGCTGATGGTGTATATAGGTTACCTACTTGGGACGCCAGTAGGGTATTTTGTGAAATCCTTTGAATTATGCACTGCCGTTAAAGTGCTATATGCATTTCAATCATTTGGATTGTGTTTAATTGTGCATTTCTGAAGGTGAAATTGTTATCTATAAATGCTAGTGCTCGCATTATTTTTTTATTGATTTTCATTTTGAAAGTTTGTTTATATCTTTCAACCATGATTATTTTTAGGATTATGATGATCACTTACTGAGTAGCTAAACTCATCAAACTATGGTAAACATTTTTCAAGATAACTGCGGTTTCATTTGAGTCCTCGTCAAGATCAACTTTGGGAAGATATTGTAGTTTTGCTTAAACTTTCTTTTGTTACTTTGTAAGAATTCGCCACTGTATATTTTTCCTATCAAGCAATGTATATATGTTTTGTCAGTCACATCTTAGGAATATCAGTATCATAAATTCTTGGGGTGTGACAAGCCCGCATGAAACAAATTTCCTTAAATAAATCATTGACAGTGACTGACAACTAGCAAGGTCCTGAAGCTTCTCAATTTGGATTGGCAAATTTTAATATTGGGGACTTTTTTTACCAATGCTTTTTGGATAACTTTTCCACATTGTTTCATTGTTTGAATGGTTTTTAAAGAGGTAGCTTTAGGAATTGGGCTTGGGGTAAGGTGTTTTTAGCTGGTTTTAATGGCATTATATTTCAAGTTTCATTCGTATATAATTTTGTAAAAATAAAAATAAAATAAAAAACAAAAAATAATAATACTAATAATTATGATACTAATTATTATTATTATTATTATTATTATTATTATTATTATTATTATTATTATTATTATTATTATTATTATTATTATTATTATTATTATTATTATTACTATTATTATTATTATTATTATTATTATTATTATTATTATTATTATTAGCTTGAGCCTGGTGATAAACTTGGTTGGTTCACATTCCATAATGAACAACTATACATTTTTTGTATTTCTAGAAATTCGAAAACCTCAGCATAGCTTCCTGGAGCTTACAACTCGTGGTGCGTGAATTCACCACTGGTAGTGCCCTAGACCGCCACCTAGAGTGTCAAATGCAATATTCAAGCATAAAACTAAAATCCAAACTGCGGATAAATATTTCAAAATTGCTTATGGTGATTTTGTAGAAGTAAAATTCAGATGAAGCACATTTTTGTATCAAAATTTAATGACATTTGGGGAATGCAGATGAGAATTTCTTGACCAACGGCGACCTCGAAACAGTTGTGGATTGGATACCTGGCATGCCGAATATCCGTCTAAGAGATCTACCCTCCTTTATTAGGACAACCATTCTTAGTGATATCGTGCTACAATTTTGCCAGGTTAAATGCCGTGATGCCCTCAAGGCTTCAGCTCTCATTCTTAACACATTCGAAGATTTAGAGAAACCTGTTCTCGATGCCATGAGAGAAAGAATCTCATGCCCAATCTATACAATTGGCCCTGTTGTAAGCTTTAGCCAAAGTGAATCCAATGTCCACTTAAACTCAGTTTCAATGAGTCTTTGGAAAGAAGAGGATGCTTGTCTAGAATGGCTCAATGACAAGGAACCGAAGTCAGTTCTTTATGTGAGTTTTGGCAGTGTAATAGTTTTAACACCCTATCAACTCAATGAGTTCGCCTGGGGTCTTGCTAGTAGCCAAAGGCCTTTCATATGGGTCCTTCGCGAAGATCTTGTAGTTGGTAAATCAGCCATGTTAGAAAAAGAATTTGTTGAAGCAACCAAAGAAAGAGGGCTAATAATGAGTTGGTGTAACCAGATGAAAGTATTGTCACACCTTGCAATTAGTGGCTTTCTAACTCATAATGGGTGGAATTCTACACTGGAGAGCATTTGCAATGGCGTGCCCATGATATGTTGGCCCTTCTTTGCCGATCAACAAACAAATTGCAGGTACGTTTGCAAGGAATGGGGCATTGGGATGGAGATAAACAATGACGTTAAGAGGGAAGATGTGGAGGCATTAGTGAGAGAGTTTATGGAAGGAGAAAATGGTAAAGAGATGCAGTTAAGGGCCAAGAAATGGAAGGAGAGCTCAAAAAGTGCTCTTCAAATTGGAGGTAGCTCTTATGATAACTTTGAGAGGCTATTAAAGGAAGTGCTTCTAGAGAAACATTAACCAAATTCAGATATCACAAATTTTACTGGAATAATTTTTGAAGCTTGTATGAGAACCTATCCTCCTATAAATTGCATGGAAGTGTGAGACTTGTCTGTGCATTTGTTGGCATGCCCGAGCAGAAAAAATAATGTATGACGCCTATTTTGAGCTTTGAAAGATGTTGCTGCATATATGTAAGTAATGTTGAGAATGAGAAGCACTTTTGCACATGTTATCTTGAGACTACTAAGTATACAAAGCACACATTCTTATGTAAAATTGATTCTTAGGCCCTAATTAGTTCACAGGAAATGAGTATCCTCAGAAGATGTCAGGTATGTTTGAGAAACAGGATTCAAATATTCAGAATTTTAGAAATATGGGTAAAGACCTTATCTAGCTTTTTTTATATCTAGATTTTATGTTATCCTGATATCTGGTTTTTTTGTGTGTGTTTGACTGCCTTCTTGTATTTTAAGATTCTACTGTAGTTATTCATTTTTTTGAAAGAAAGTTAACTTAATTATTCATTTATTTTCTACGATAATTCTTGATATATTTTCTATTTTATATACCCATCATCCAATTAAGAAAAAAAAAGAAAAAACAGGGATGGTGCCTCCACTAGCGAGAGAGGTCTCCATTCAACATCTAAAGAAGGAGGATTACAATCCTAAAGATTCGGGCTATCTTTGCATTTTTTTAGAGAGAGAGACTTTGATACCTTTTTCTCAGCTATTGAATTGGGCCAGTTCCAATGTTGAAGTTTGAATTGTAAATTAGAGAGAGAAACCCATTTGCTAACCATTAAAAAAGAAAGAAACCCTTCTATATAATATACGTTGTGATTCTCCTCTAAGCCATTACAGATTGTAATAAAATACAAGTCCCACATTAGAGATCACCATGGATGCCATCCTCTACTTCTTTGTACCTTTCGCCTGGGCAGTTGTTGCAGACTAAGAAATAGATGAGGGATTTAAGCAAGCGAAAAAGAGAAAGAGAGAGAGAGAGTAGGGCAATGAAAAGAGAGAGAGAGAGACAAAGTCTTGTTTAGAGAGAGGGAAAGAGGCAGGAAAGGGAGATGAGTGGACACGAGAAGGAGAGAGAGAAAGCACGAGTGTCAATTGTGTAAATTGCAGCTCATAATTTTTAGAACCCCCAAATTTCAAATCGGAGTTGAAATTTTGGGGATTTGGATATCATACGGTAATCCAAATATATATTGATAGAAATTGACCCCATCAAACATGCTCCACTAACATCCATAATCAAAATTATATGAGATTTTGTAATATCCTAAAATGCCAGGATATTATAATGTTATTAATCAGACCCTGGCTTCTCCTAGTATAGATGTTTGCTGTTTGGATAGCATCTAGTAATAGACCTATAATATGCTTGTCCATTGTTTGAATTTCCTAGAAGGTGTATCTCCCTAGAATGATAAAACATAATATTATAATTATAATATTAGAAGACATTACAATAAGTCTCATAGTTTGGTCTGCTATATAATTTTATCTTTCAAGTTGCTATGGACCATACTGACTTGGTGGCCCTTAGAGTAGGCCTATTGGGCTGGACTTTTCCCTTGTGTAGGCCAACTCGAGTGTAGTTGACTGTGTGAGTAGAGCGCGTTAGGGGGAACTGGAGTGTTGTTGATGGTGAATTTCAACAGCATCTCCCCTAGATTTGGAAATTTGTCAGAGGTGCGCTCCTGATTGGGGAACATCCCTCTTAGATTCTGACATTTGTGGCAAGTGCGCCCCTGATTGGGCAGCATCTCCCCTAGACTTTAACATTTGTGGGAGGTGCAAATTGGGCTGCATCTGCCTTAGACATAGATATTTGTGAGAGGTGAGTCCCTGAGTGGGCATCATCTCCCCTGGACTTGGAAGATGAAGGGAGGTGAGCCATCAATAGGGTAAGGTGTCCACTATACTGAGAGGATGAAGGGGGTTGACCACCGGTTGGGCGGCACGTCCCCTAGATTGAGAGGATGAAGAGAGCTGAACTGTCTCTATTTGGGCAGCATGTCCTTTAGAACTAGACATTTGTGAGAGGTGCACCCTTGATTGGGCCACATCTCCTCTTGATTTTGACATTTGTGGGAGGTGCACCTATGATGAGGTTGCATCTCCCTTAGACATGGATATTTGTGGGAGTTGTACCCTTGATTGGGTAGCATCTCCCCTAAACTTGGAAAATGAAGGGGGGTGAGCCACCGATTGGGTACATGTCCCCTATACTGAAAGGATGAAGGGGGTTGAGATTCAATTGGGCAGTATGTCCCCTAAACTAAGATGATGAAGAGGGCTAAGCCTCCGGTTGGGAAGTATGTCCCCTAGACCTAAAGGATGGAGGGGAATTCAACCTTGGCTCTTTGAGCCCAAGTCGAACTCCCTGACATTCTGGGTGGCTTGAACCATGCAGACTTGGTGGGCTACACATGTCAACTGGATGATAGATAGGCTAGCTAGGCTTAGCCCTTGGTGTGGGAGTATGGAACCACTGGAACTCGATCTTGACTAACCTGAAACATGGTAGATCCAAGGAATTGAGCCATAAGATCATGTGGGTCTAGCCATTATAAGGGGCCTAGACGATGTGGTAGATTCAGTATTTGAGTCACCACAAACTAAAGACATGATAATGCTCACAAGGAGCAATCGAACTGGAAAGACACTTTTTGACTTATTGTCACTATGGGTAGCCAGGGCTGTGTGGTCTTTCTAGCTAAAGAAAATGCTGAAATGAATTAGGCTGAAATAGGTGTCTACATAAAAGTCCAGCTACAGTGACTACAAGAAGCCGATCATTACTTAGAAGTGGGTTTGCATTCGTGGTCAAGTTTCCTCAGAGAGGTGCGTTGCTTCCTCGTTACATCACCCCAGTTTCCTGTGCATGAAGCTAAGTTCCCGCATGACTAATGGTTGGTACACGGTTTATCGAAAACTTTGAAAATTTTGGTGTGTTTGAAGCGTGTGTGGTTGGTGTGGGAAAACAACACTCGGTGATGTTTGTGCATTAAGCCATCACAAGTACATGTAATAAACAACCAAGTTACTAATGGATAAGCAT